AAAAGTTGACCATGCAAGCTTTTGTGCACCATCCTGTTCGTAAGAGTGAAAAAAAAAAAATTACTAACCTTACACAATCAGAATTCACATAAGAACCGGCAAAAGGGGTTAACCAATAAAAAGCGGCTATATATTTTCTTGCAAAAGAGTGACGTCACGGAAAACGATTAGTGCCAGTTTTGCGCGGATGTTCCCTTGCTTCCATTTCACCTTGGGGTAGGGGGGGAGGGGGGAGGGGACGGTTAGACGTGGGCTACTGGATGTTTAGTTATGCTGTGCAATGAGAATCCAGAAGTGTTTTATCGTCCACTTCATTTCGCATGCTACTTTATTATACAAGCCTTTGAAACAGTCAAAAGACACGAAAGATTGGTTTGAAGCATCCCTGAGCGTCCAGAGGTATCGATAAGATTTACGAAAATTAGTTGTTGTGTGAACTTTTTTAAAAAAACATTAATGAATCCCTCTTCAGAGCCAGCTTCCTGGGGCTTATATTACGCGCTTGACCGCCTTTGTCGGTTTTTTTCAAGACCTAGTTCGACGAGAATAGTCATGGGTTAACGTCCACAAAACAAATGAATAGAGGGGGAAAATTTCTAAAGAAATTGCTGCGTCGGTAGGAGAGTATTACAGGGTAATTTAGTATTATCAACTGAGTTGATAAGATAAATTGGCCACCGTGGAGAGTTTAAAAGCTAACGTTTCGATCATCAGCCCTTCGTCAGAGTGATTGCAGGAATTGTGGGTTGGGTGTTTGCTTATATGCAGAAAATAAGCTACGCTAGTGGTGGGAATACGGTGTCTTCGAGAGAGAACGGTTAAACCAAATTTTGCCTTGGGTAATAGGGTTAAATTTCTAAGGAAACTGTACCGCCGCGTTGGTGGGGGTATCTTTGCCGAGAAAATTTCTAAAATAAATCAGTGCTCTAAGTAATAAATTAACATTTCCATGCAGGAGAGACAAGGCTACTACAAGGAAGCTGTTGCGTTCAAATGAATATAATTTGTCTGATGAGCAGGTCATAACTCAGGATAGATGCCTACGAGGAAATTTTCTTCTCTTTATGTTATGATGAAGCTACACAGTTTAAACTTTTTTTTCTATTTCGGGATAATGCGCCCTTTTAGCACTTTATTGTTTTACATCAAGGTAATAAAAGCGACTTTCTAGGAGCTTTGGGATCAATATCAGTATCTGGGTAACTGCCCACCTACCCCTCCCCTAACCCAACATTAACCCTAAGTTGTTATCAATTGACTGTTGTTGAGTTAGGGGAGGGGTAGATGGGCAGTTACCCAGATATTGATATTGACCGGGCTTTGTTTTACAAACTGAAGGCCTAACATTTGCTGGATCGTTAAACATATTTGTGCCCTTCCTAGTGTCATGGGCGTTAGGTATATTTTGCACTTCTATCGACCTTTATATATATATATACAATCCGCATTCGATCTATAATGGTAATAGGACTGAGTGGAGTCCAACTGACTGAGTGGATAAATGCAAAGGGGGAGTCCGATTCGTCAATCAAAACAATGACAAAATTTGAGTTTGAAACTTGACATAGGTGATACACTTTCATTAACCTAAAAAACAACAACAGGGCGCAGTTGAATTTCAACTAGGCGAAATGCGCAGCAACAGCACGCGCACACGACGTTAATTTGTCCTACTACACTGTCCAAATACAAGCATGGCGCGTTCACTGTCCTGTTAGTGCTCAAATCGGGCAGGTGACAACCAATCATGTTCGAGAATTTTGTTATAGTTTTGATTATGTTTGTCAATCCTCTACTGAAACAGTCGTCGCAAACGTTTCTTTTAATAACTCAGTCTTGCTCAAGTAACAACAACACACTTAACTGACTAGCAAACAATTCTTGAAAATCAAAAGCAAGAAACGAATGTTCACAAGCCAGATCAGTTCCACAAAAAGGTTTTGAAAGCCTCTTACTTCTCCAATCTAGTTTAAAAAAAAATTCACTAACAACAACATAACTAAGAGGAAATTAGTCATTAGCTGATGTTTACAATATCTGTTGTAGTCTCATCAGGAAGAGAAAATTGACAACGATGCCTTTAATTTTTGAACACAAAAACTTCCATTTCATTCACAACGAAGTATTGACTTCCTGTTAAAAAAAGGTTACCATTCTGACCTGCTGGGCACTGGTATGTAATGCCAAGGTTAACGGAGCAGTTGGAGGAATTTGGAGAATCTGGAACGCAAAGATCATGTCCACCTCCAAATACTGGACCACGGCTATTGTGGCAGTAGATGGCACTTCCTTCCCTACCATCTATCAAAGGCATCTTTGTTGGTGGCAAGCCACTGGCATTGACAAGGCTGAACAGGAAAGAACCTGGTGCTCTTTTGTACGGTTCAGTATCTGGTAAAAAATATTTACTGAGTTAGATTGGTTGTATAACAATTCTCGGTAGCAAATAGGGACAAAACCAGGACAAGAAATTGTCACGGCAATAATTAACGCTTGTGCTTGTAGCTGGAGCTATCATTTTCATGTCAGTGCATCACGACCTCTAAAAAATCACTCTGCCCTTAGCTTACTCTAGATGAAATAGAAGTTCACTTCCTTAAAATAAAGGAGGCTTGGTGTTTAACTCTAGAAAGATGTTTCTCATCGAAGACTATGGTAACACCTAGCTGAAAATATACAAAAAAAAAAAAACAACCCTGTCATAAGATAGAAGTCCCTCTGAAACGAAAATAAAAACAAAATAAACAAAACAAAACAAAAACAAAACAAGACATAACAAAACAACCAAAAAAACAAAGTAAAAATATAGCTACAACAACAGCAAAAACATCAATGCATTATTCATGGTATTAGGGAGTCCTATAAAACCTGATATTTCATTGAACTGTCAGTCAAAAGGGTTTATCCCTCAGAAATGTGAGCAAGCTGACTCACCGTACAAGAAATGAGGGGGCAGGGGGGCGGTTGGCTGAATCTTCCATTAGTTTTTAATGAAGTTGTGAACGCAGAAAGCTAAAAAAGAAGGTTCTCAAGATTAGGTTGGTGCTGTATACCAGGAAGCTCTCATTTGGGAGTTTTTTGTAGAGCTAGATCGATTGTGAAAGAATCACTTTCTGACCGATTTAAGTTTTTTTTTTTGATATTTTGGCAGAATCATCATTACATTTTCCCAAAAAGAAAAGAAGAAAAAGGGTAGAAGTTCCCAAGCAAAAGACTTCTTGCTTCTGTAATTAACCTGTAAATGGAAAGTAAACAGCAAATTTGAGAGCAGAATATTAGGATGGAGTATTTTATCATAAGGGGGAGAGGGGGGGGGGGAGTAAAGGAGTTTGATTCAATGGGGCTGACAGAAAGGTCTCTTACTTGACGATTGCCATGACTGCTCAGTATATCCTCCAAATATGTAGTTTCCATACTTGATCACTGTAACTGTTGGTCCTTTGTTATCACAACAGGAGTGGAAGTTAGAGGCGGCCCATCCATTGCGAGAAGCTCGGTATAACAACACGTAATCATCGCCTAAGCTTTCGCGTGTGTCCTTCAACCAATCTACCAGGATTTCACGCTGTTCTGAGGAGAGAATTGCAGAATCTTTAAACGGATTTGCTTTCAGCTCATCGAGTATCCCATCGATTTGATAGAATTCTGCCTCGTTCAACAACTCATTGCGAACGACTTTATCGTCCGGTAAGACGAGTTTCCCAGTGCGAAGGTAATTTAAGATATATCGGAAGTGTGTTCCGTCTCGGTCGATGAAGTAAGATCCATCCTCGCCTGGTTTTGTGTCAAATCTGCCTGAAAACATGGAATGAAACATGGAACCTGTGAAAACAAGATGAAAAAACCTCCTTTTAATACCTAAATCCTTTTTTTAAAATATAATCAATTTCATTTACCCAGTTTGGCGGGTGGCATCGTACATCACATGGCAAACTATAGTCAGCCATATCAAAATTGTTTTCATCGTGATGTAGTGAGTTAACTAGAATTAATGGTGGATTATTTAGGACTGCGTTCCACAAGCCTGTCCGTTTTTTAAAACCAGCGTAAAGACGCAGGTAAAAGCTCGGAAATCGGCATGCAAAACGGAAGTACCGTTCCGAACAATGGACTTTAAAATCGAATTCTCTCAATTACTAAAACAGCTGAGGACGCAAGTAGGATTTGAATTTATGGATAAACAATTGAGTGGAGGCGAACTTTGTACAGTGTATCAACCAGCTAGATCTCAATCCTTAGTTCAAAATTGAAAACTTGCTTCAAAGTACCTGGATCTTTAGTCATAGTCGCCAAACTTGTGGAGAAAAAATGGCCTCCGACGTTGAGTTTCAGCATGGTCGAGAAATGAACATGCTCGAGCTTCTTTGCCACCTCGTCAAACGCATTTCTTTCCTTGCGAAGCTTGTTCGTCTCACGATTCAGAATGTCGAAAGCGTCTTTAATGTGTTTATTTACTTCGTCTAAGGCTTCAAAGCCGGGTAAATCTTTCTCTGAGTTACGCTTCGACGACATCTTAATCCAAGTGAGTCAAACAAAAGGACAGGTGTCGAAAGCAACTTTTTTTTTTTCCGAGAAGCCCGAGATATTTTTTCTATTCTCAGAATCCGATTT